CTCTCTCTCTCTCTCTTTCTCTCCTTCTTTCTGCTCGCTCTCACTTGCTGGCCGTTTCTACTCGTGTGCACTTCGCTTTTGTTTGTTGGACCCCTGAGTCTCTCTTTCTTTCTGCCTGTGCGTGTCTATGAGACGCCGTGTGATCCATTCCCGCGAAGGCGCCATGTGATTGCCACTGGTCGCCTGCCTACCTCACCTGCACCAGCACCAGCAGTGTGACCACCATCCAGCTGGCACCAGCGGCAGCGGCTCCTCTCGCCCCCGAATTCGCCCTTCTCGCCGGTCTTTCGTCGCCCAACACCAACGCGCTCACTGTAATCACTGTAAAGCACAACTCGCCAGCTGCACCATCACCATCACCATCACCATCGCCGACGCCGCCGCCACCACCATCACCAACAGCAGCAGCATCTTGGCAATATTTTCTGGTTAACTAAATGTTATGTCATTACATTTGGCGGCATGAGTTGTGATGCTACTTGCTAGCCCATTCTACATTGGGACGATATGAACGAAGCCGGCAGCAACAGCAGCAGCAGCACCAGCTACCGAAAGCACCCTGTAGCTACCCACTCTCTGGCCTTCGTCTCTCCGTCCGCCCCAAGTCAACTAACCCCTTCTTTTAATGGATCCCATTAATTAACATTACTTAATTAATGAGTCACGTCGATCCATCCTTCGACCCGCACCGGGTCCCATATCCACCGCCTCCGAACCACATGAACGGAGGCAACCCAGTGGTACTCGGACATGGCACCGGATACCCGCCCCCACCACCGCCGTCCCACTACGGTCTGCCACCGCCGCCTCCGCCCCATCACGTGGTGGGCAATGGGCCTCACGGCTACATGAACCACGGCGCCTACGGCCAACCGAACTACCCAACAATACCCCTTCAATACGCTCCGCCTAATCATAAACTTGAGAACAAGCTGCATGATGGAGCGCCCAGCTCAAATGTGGGTGACAAGGCTGGCCACGATGGGCCCTACGGGAAGCCGCCCACTGGCTGGGAACAACAACAACAACAACAGCAGCAACCACCACCACTGCCACCAGCGCCTGAATCGGCGCAGGAGAAGCATCGCATCACGCCAGATCGCCGGACACAGGGTCGATCGCCTGGTCTGAGCGACCAGTCTGCCCACCACATGAACGGACCGAATGGCATGAGTGCCCAGGGAATGCCGCCCTCGATGCCGCCAGCCCCTTACCCTGGCGGTCANAGAAGCATCGCGTCACGCCAGATCGCCGGACACAGGGTCGATCGCCTGGTCTGAGCGACCAGTCTGCCCACCACATGAACGGACCGAATGGCATGAGCGCCCAGGGAATGCCGCCCTCGATGCCGCCAGCCCCTTACCCTGGCGGTCACCCGATGTACGGGCAGCCAATGTACGGCATGGGCGGACCTCACCACGCTCCTCCACCACCACCGCCGTATATTGCCTCCGGTAATCAGCCAAACATGCCTTTCAACCCCGGCTACCCACACGAGGCAAAGAAGATTAGGCTGGGCGAGCCGGAACCGTTAGGAGGTGGTGATCCTAACCGAGCTGGTCCTCCACCGCAGTCGATGATGGAGAACTTCCAAGTGCCTTCCGCGGTGTCATCTGCCTCCCGACATGGTCCCTTCAATGGGAACATGCCGCCACAACAACAGACGCCCGCCTCAATGGCTCCTCACAGTGTTGCTCAACCTCCGCCAATGCCGCGAATGCCACCAGCAATGGGCGGCGAAGGCAGCTGGGATCACCCACCAGGTAGTCACCCTAATGCAAATCTGATGGCCAATCAACAGCACCAGCAACAGCATCAACAGCAACAACAACAGCAGCAACAACAACAGCAGCAGCTACAGCAGTCCGGACCGTCCACTCCCACCTCAGGCGTCAAGTCGCCCAACTCCGAGTCTGACAAGTCGTCAAAGAAGAAGCGGAAGCGCTGTGGCGGCTGTCCGGGCTGTCTGCGCAAAGACAACTGCGGCGACTGTGGTCCGTGCAAGAGTGTTCGCAGTCACCAGATTTGCAAGATGCGAAAATGTGATCAGCTCAAGACCAAAAAGGAAAAGGTTCGCGAGGTAGGCTGACTTTAACTTTAACTTTACACTGCAATCTTCCTCTTTCCCTCTCCTGCACATTTCTCTTTTTGGCTGCACTTTCTTCGAGCGCACTTTAGCATCTGCAATACTCTGAATATTTGCGTTTACTGGACACAATCCAAGAGACTAGTGCTAAAAATAGAGTTTAGAGCATATCTTCTTCTTCTTCTTGGCTTTATATTCTCTCCAGTTCTTGCCTCCCCTTCTCCTGTTGCCTGTTTCTCTACACGCTTTGCTGGGAAGCAAATAAAGTCGAGTACAGTCGACTGGTGGTGCCGTTGCTTGTGCTCCTTGCAAGCAAAGTAATAGTGCTGGTGGTGTTGGTGCTGGTGGCACCGTTCATGAAAGTGAACACCAACAGCATCACCACCACCACCACCACCACCAGCGACAGTAAGTGCAAGCTCACTGCTGCTACGAGGCAACGAGTGTTCCTTCTATGATGAGCTTAGCATTTCTCGAATAGGTCGATTTAGGCCGGCAATGCAATAGCTCGCAAAGAATTCAATGGACCACTGGCTGCAGAGAAAAAGGTGCAAGGAGCAGTCGGTGTGTACGTTGCTTCTTGGGCAAAACTCTACCAGCACTTCGGCACTGATTCTCATCTCGATAGCTGCAGATGGAATCGATCGAGATAGACGACTTGATTGTTTGCCGCTTCTCGTAGGCACAGAGCGTACAATTAGCGCCCTTTGACTAGTTCTCCATCTTCGAGCTAGTTCTCTGTTTGCAGACATCAGACTTGTCTGCCTGTCTGTCTTTCTCTCGCTTTCTCACAAACTTACTACCTAACTTGCCGTATGCTGTATGCACTTACTTGTCGACGACTTTGTAAATGCCATTCGCCATTGGAGTCGTCTTGTCATCTTTGTGGCTTTATAAGGCACACTACTGCTTGACACTGCACTTTTTTTCACTTCGCACGTTCATGCTTCTTTCGCTGCCACTTGCAATTGCCAGTCGTCAGAGTCTGAGCCTAAGGCAAGGTCACAGCGTTGTCTCCTGTGACAGAGCACTCTGCGCTGGTTGTCTGCCTCGGAGGCTCTCAGAATCGCCTCAACTACATCCGCTCCTTTCTGGCCAAAGGGTTCGAGCCTACATCTCTGAAAGCAAGAGGCTGAAGGCACTAAATCCACCACCAGTCTCTCTCTCTCTCTCTCTCTCTCTCCGCTTTTCTAAGAAAGCCATTACTACT